ATTCTAGTGTTGAGTGACAGTAGCGCGAAGTTGTTCATAGAGGTGAGATGCATTTTCTTTCTTACTTCGCTTCTTCCACCGAAAGTGCAGCATCTGTGGCAGAACGATGAACATTTCTTTTTTTTTTTTTTGGGAGGGGGGGGTTTGCGGGCGGGCGGCGGAAGGCGCCTCTTAGGATTTCAAGTGTTTTTGAATTTTGGGAAAGGTTTGGTGTTTATTTTTTAGGGTTTAGGGCTTAGGGTTCAAGGTGGATAGGCAGCCAGGCAGCAATGTGGCACATGAGCAACAGGGAACCCAGGCAGTGGTGCAGCACCGACAATGCGAGCGGAAGGCAGCTAGGCGCAAAGGCAGCACGAACAAGGCATTTCACTCATACAAATGATACAGCAGGGACCACAGCAGAACTGCCAGAGCATTACCTTATTTATTTATTTATTTGTTTGTGTTTGCCAGAACATTACCTACTCGCACTGCAAGTAGAACCTTACAACAGACTGAAACAGACATTGTCAAGACCATTGAAAAGAAGGGGAAAAAAAAAAGAAAAAAGAAAAACACTATGCACTGTAGGGTCATGCCCCCATCAGAGAAAGCAAGTCACTTCCAAAAATGTATGTCTGAGTCTTGTCATCACTCAGGGAACAGTGGAACACATACATATTACATAGGCATATTGAATCCAGCAGCCTCTGTGATAACCCAACAGGTACTCCAAAGAAACAGGACATAAAGAACAATCACAGGAAATGATGAGAGAACGCACATTTTGAGTGGACAAGAGAAAAAAGAGCAAATGCTTAGAATGACAAGAGGAAAAGAAGAGAGTTATAAATTGTGTGTGTGTGCGTCTGCCTGTGTGTGTGGTGGTGGGTTAAGGGGGAGAATGGCAAGGTAGGAGTGGGTGAGGGGGTGGGGGGGGGGGGGGGGGGGGGGTAGAAAGAGTTTAAGGATGGGGATATTTCTTGAGATGGAGAGAAGGATGGGGATAATTCTTGAGATGGAGAGAAGGATGGTGAATTCGGCAAATGCAGCAAGGCGGCTGATAATCAWTYTCTCCCTGTTTTTTTTTTGTGTGTTATCTCCCAYCTGTCTCTCGCTTTCAACGCTTTGGTATTCTTGTAATGAGATTCAGCTCTGCAAGACATTACCTCAAAACACTGTTTACTACATTTCGCCGGAGTTCTCGCTTGGTGTGAGGGACATGATATCCAAGGTATGGCTGTGGCTATCATCAACTACAAATTTCAAATCTTTTTKTTTTTTTTKTTTTCACTGACGATCATGGCAATCAGGCAGAAGGTAAGAAGTAAGAATCAACAGAAGCAAGCAAGCAAGTTGAAGTAACCAAGCAAGAAAGGGAAAT